TTCATTCACCTGCAACCCTACCAATGTCTTATGTGCCATCGCCCCTCTGTTATCTACATTGTCTACAATGCGTGATTCCTACATGAAAGAATGAATGCAAATTGATCTGACATCAGCTCGAGAAAGACAAAAGCCTGCGACAAAACTCTTTTACCTTCCTGGACATTCCAGTGCTGACCTCAGGTTAGCTGTTCTTAGGCAACTGTTAAAAAACTGATTCAGATGAGAAATAAGAGTAAGAAATCATCTACAGATAGGTCATGTTTAAAGGGGGACTACATACTTGTATCCCATTACTTGAATTAGTTTTTGTGACCCACTTTGTTCCTATGGGTTCTTTGTTGGTATGCCTTTCCCAGCACTGTTCTCTGCCCCTTCCTCCATCATACCTTTTCTTTCCACCTCTTACATACAAATCACTCTCTCCATTCTATATTTTGCTCTATGAACATCCTTTCACAGCTTAAGATGAAGTGAGCTCCTGTTCACAAAACCGCTGCTATATATAATTTAATTAGTTAATGAGGTGAAAAACTACCCCGCCTTCTACTGAGGCAGAGTGATGGGAAAAAGAACAGCAACCTTCCTGGACAGCCAGAAATTCACCAGTAAAACAGCCATTTCTTTCACCTGAATATCATATTTTGCATCAAAAGTTTAAAAACAAACAGAAAACCCAAAATGACAAGGCAGACAGAAAAGAACCTATTTTATGACATCCTCATTTAATTGATGCAAAAGAGTTTGGAGCATTGATTTCTTAATTCCTTGGATTGCCACTCAATCCCAAAACCAGTTGGGATTGCTCAAATTAAATGAAAAAAATGAATGCTCTTTAAAAATCAAAGGTTACATACAAACATTCAGTTTCTCCCAAAAAAATCATTGCTCTCCTAGGAAACACCATGAGCCTACAAATGTTCAGAATTTTTATCCCAGAGTGAAAATGCCTACTCAGGGGAAAAAAAAAAAATCACCAGGAAACAACCATGGTTAAATCACTACTGGGACAGCAAATGTCTGTACATGTTCTCTTCAAAGAGAAGCCAGGGAACAGTCCTTCAAATTCCCAAAGGGCTTTGCTCCTTCTCCCCCTTCATTCCAGGAGAAAGTGTATCACTCACCGGATTCTACTTCTCGAGCTAATCAAGCAGCACTACCCCTTTCACAATTCTCATATTGTGCAATAAGGAGAAACAGGTTGACCCTGAGCACTCTGGGTCAGCTAGTCAGGACTGTTCTGTACACTGCTGCCGTCCATCTCGAGCGCACGCTAAGATGTTTGCACAGAGGAACATTGTCTGCTACGCATTAGCACTGCTCCTCAGGGTCTCAGCATTCAAATGTCTGTTCAGGTGTCGCTGGGTAAGTTTTGCTACCAGAAAAACAAACTTCTCCCAAATTATTTGAATGAGTATACACAGCCAAAATCAAAGATAATCTAGGAAATATTCTCTTAATGAATATTGCTTGAATAATGGGATGCCATTTCTGAGACAACATCACCATCTGATATGTTGTCTTCAAGGCTGCTAAAGGTCTGTAAAAGTGATGTTGACTTGCCAGATAAGAGCCAATGCAACAATATATAAGCAATAATGTATATAGTTAAGATACGAGATGCAGGAATAACAGAATGAATGCAGGATGACACCAACTAGATTGTCTTCTAGGAGTGGACTGCTTACTTCACCATTCCTAGTCACCACCTACATCAAAAAACATATTGTTGGACAACACCAGGAATGGTAAGGAGGACTCCATCAGCGGTCCTAGAAAAGAAATGGCTATTCCACAACCTCTGATGTTTAGGAAGCCTCTGTTAAGGTTATAAATGATAATGGGAAATAAAACCAACAGAAGTTACCTTGCCAAATGAACACACGTTTTCTTCTGTAAAAAGTATATCAATATTTGCTGCGCATCTTATCCTGTCAGTGAACAAATATACCTCATTGCAGTATGTAAGCATTCTGGCATGCCGTCAGCCCACACAGCCACATTTATTCTCTACCAATAAATACTTCTTTTGCAAAACATAAATAAAAAATGGGATGCACTTAGCACAGTCACTTACTTTCAGCATCAGGTTTTTATAACTACAGATTTTACCCTAGAGCTCTAAAAATATGAAAAAAGGTTTAATAAGATTAGATTTAGGAACTTTAGTACTATTTTACACGATGCCTTACCAACAAAACCTACTACTTTTACTCTCCCTTCCTTTTAACTTATGGCAACATTTGCATTTACATTTTATCATCGTAGTATTTAGAATATGGATGATTATGGTCTAAGCAAAAGCACAATTTTATCACAGCAATTCCTGATCCTACATCACATAACTAAAGATTCTAAGTACAGATTCCTAGGATAAAGTAGAAAATGTTAACATGGCATTTAGTTTCCATAATTAAATATATGAATAAACACACCACTTCCCAGATGCGGGGAGTTATAAATATGGATATGCTTACACCAGTGGCTATCAACCTTTTTGGACTTGAGACACTCCTCAGTGGACTAAAGGCACATCTGGATAACTTTTGTGAATTGAGTAACACCCAGTTTCAAAAATTAATTTATATATTACAGCACTTACCTCCTTGAAAAGCGGCCAGACAGCTGGGGTAGAGAAGGATCCAGGCAGGAACAGGGCAGCCTGCACTTAACTGCTTATCTCATCACATCTCATTTATCTTCTCATACTTCATGGAACCCTTCAAAGGATCTGGCAGCATCCCAGTGCCCCCCACACTCTGGGTGGGAATCACTGGTCTACAATGTAATAAAAAAGTAGGGCTGAAGCTGCACTAGCTTTAAACTAACAGCTTGGGTACTGGTAGCAGTGTAGCCATGGTAACAAACACCCTGACATGGGCTAGCTGCATGGGTATTTACTCAGGGGGCCACAATGAACCTCCATCCTGCAGCTACACTTACAACCTACCTAGAGAACTAGCCAGCTTAAAATCAGCTACAGGATGTTTAAGTGAGCTGCAGCCACACTTTTGATCCACTCCAGTGTAGGTACATCCTTTGAGTAAGATACTTGGCTGGTGTTACAAATCCCTGATATGTATGCATTAATATGTTAATATAAGTGGCTATGCTTATTTGGTTCCACAGTGTTTTCAATACAACATGGGTTCCAGTCACTTTTCAAACTGAATTATTACAACCCTGACTTTATGTGGCTACATCATTTGCAATTATACCCAACAAGAAATTCAGTCAAAACTAATGGAAGCTTTATCACAAAGAAGGCAAACAGACTTCATCCTCTGAACAGAGATTACCACTTAAGGTCTATATCAGTGGTCTCCAACCTTTTCCAGTAGCAGATCACTTTTGGAAAGGGCCGTGGTGGAGGGTGGAGTAGATGGAGGCCTCCACACCCTAAATCACCACTGGGGCCATGATCTGCCCCCCCCCCCCCCACTACCCCTTAAATGGCGGTGAAGTAGGGAGTGGGGCAGGGGCAGGCCCTGCAGCAGGGGAAGGGCAGGACAGAGCCATGAGCAGCTCATCTGAGGGGTGTAGGGAGGGGGGCATGCACCCCAGGAGGGCATGGGGGGGGGGCATGTGCTCCCGGATCTGCATGCGGGGCAGGCTGCAGCTGTGGGCTGGAGCACTGGGCCACTGGGAAGAGCCCGGCCAGCAGCAGTGCCTGGAATGGAGCTACAGGGGGGGCTGCAGCCCCCCCCCCCCCCCCCCTCCCAGTGCTGCTGCCTGCTACAGCGCAGCACAGTGCAACCTCCCAGCTTCCAGCAGCAGCCACCCCACCCCGTGCAGAACCTGAGCACACCACTCCCATGCCCTCAGCAGTGGGGAGGGGAAGGCTGTGCCATGGTATTCCTGGTGAAGGCTGTGTTGCACTGCGCTCAGGGTGGGTGGTGGCAGCACTGGGAGGGGAGCCTGGGGGGGCTACAGTTAATTTTTGGGTGGCTACAGCACCCCCTCCCCACTGTGGCAATGCTCCCAGCGCTGCTGCAGGCCTTTTTCCAGTGGGCCAGCTCCCCTACCCCTGCTGAGAAGAGCCAAGCCCCAGCCCACAGCTGCAGCCCACTCTGCCCCACCTGCAGATCCAGAGGCACATGCCCCCGTGTCCTCCTGGGTACGTGCCTCCCCCTCCCTGCACCCCATGGACAAGCTGCTCATGGCTCCATCCCACCCCTGCTGCAGCTGCCCGCAGTGCTCTGTGTTGGGGGGGGCATGTGCCCTCCCCCCACTCTATGTGCAGGGCAAGACAGCTGTAACTTCATGCTTAGCTTTGCACCATGGACTTTGTGCCCTCAGCTGCAGTGGGGCTCAGGGCACAAAGCCCAGTGCACAGTGGCAACCGCCTCACCCTGCACACAGACTGGGGGGGCACGTGCCCCCTTAGACTCTGCTGGGGTGTGTGCATAGACAGAAGCCCCCCAAACACCTGGATGAGCAACCTGGGCTCCAACCCTCTCCCAGCCCAGTGGCTGGGGATCCACTCATCCAGTGGCAGGGGGTGTGGAGGGGGATCATGCCATTCACCCAGCCCAGCCCTGGGGACAGGGGGTGTACCTCAGCCCAGCTACATGCACCTTGCCACTCCTATGTCCCGCCACTCCCGAACTGTGTCCCAGCTGCTTCCAATCATGGAAACTCTGATAGTTGATCTCAGTCTGGGGCAGGAGGTGTCAGGGCTCCCCAACCGACCAGTTGATCGGGATAGACCAGTTGGTGGTCACTAGTTTATATAATGCTAATGGTAAGCATTTGATTCCAGAGTACTTAAAAAAAAAAAAAATCTTACCTCACATTCCCATTTTCTGTATATCAAGGCCAAACCTGAACACCTAATCAACAGGTTTTCCAGCTTTGCCTTCTTTTCACTGCACTCACATGCATACTACTGCACCTAAATATACAGTTCTGAAATGAATCTTTTTTAAACATAGTTGATAAACCTAAAAATAGAAGAGAGACAGAGGCAGGAATAAAATATTCACCATAGAAAGTATTACCTTTGGCTGGGTTTACTTTTATCCCTGACCTATACAGCATCTCCTCATTCTGCCAGTCCCCATTTCTGACAACAGTCTTGAGTCCATAGAAAACAATTAATGAAGCAGTGGCATAAAAAATCAAGTTCTTCAGAAAGCGCTTTTGGGCTTTGACATAAAGGGCCCTGACACCCACTGTAATCAACAGGCAGAAGCCCATACTAGGAATATACAGCACACGCTCTGCTATTACAAAGCCTACATAAAAAAATAGGTTTGTGGCTGGAACAAAGGGCACTATTAACAGAGACAGAGACAGAACTACAATGTTCTCAGTTGAAGGAAGTTGCAGTCTCTGGATTACATGTTTTTTTATGCCATTCTCTTCTTTTGATGCAAAGCTGGACTTCTGCTCCAAGCTCCTATATTCCATGTCTGAGTGGCAGCTATGCCCATTAGTATTCTGCTTGCCATTCATTACAGCTTTCCCATTGCATTCTCTCTCACTGCTGGAACTCTTCAAGCTAGAGTAGGCAAGAAGGAGGAGTCCAGCACAGAAGGCCACAGTGTGTAGATTCCTCCAGTCACTGACTGTTTTAAGAAGAGGCACAGCATCCATGGACCAATCAAAGCTGAGGGTGTCCGGGCACAGCAACAGCCAGAGGTTCTTGGTCGGCAAGTAAAAAAAGGTCAGAGTGCGTGTGAGAAAACTGTCTGAGTCAGCTGCTGGGTTGTCAGAGTTGGAAAAGCTTGGCGGCTTGTTGCCCATCCAGTACAAGCGGGCACCCAGCAGTGCAGTCCCCCAGAATGTCAATAAACCAATGCTGAAGTAAAGGGACAAATTCTTCCTCTGAAACCAAAAGTAAAAGAAAAAAAAAAGAATCATCAATACAAAAATGACATCAGAACCTTGAATTCATACTAGGACTGTTAAACGACTTTGTTAAAACACTGTGTTGTTTCTTATACATGAGGTTGTTTTTAATGTATCTTAGTGACCCACATTCCCACAGTAATTTCACCACCCCGCCTCATTGTCTGGACAATAGAAATCTCTGGATCTTTCCCAGGTTTTAAGTTAAAAGAGCTGCCTATTTTCGCTCACGGACTAGAGGCCCATGCTTTAAGATGCATATGTAATAGATTCCATTTCAACTGCTGACAACCTACCCAGAGATGTCTTACCCTTTATAAACTCTTATCCAGATGAAATGTACGATGTATCACTTTCTACTGTATTCAGTTCTCTCCCACAGCTCCATTCTGTGGCTAATTTTGTGGCCCATTCTGCTGCCTTTATTATTGCTAATATTTGAATGTAAAGCTTGTAATAGTTGCTGGCTCAGCAGCATTAGGATATTGAGAATGTACTCTACAGACTGAATGACGTTTTCAAGAAGATAAGAAATTAAAGCACTTCCAATCAGATGCCATATTTATTTTAACTAAGACTCTTGACAAAAGTTATTTGTTGAAGGTTGAATACCTATCAGTTAAGAAACATAAGAAAAAGCATGTTTGCTCCCTAATGAAGTACACCACACTCAAACCAGTGCCCTAAAAGGAGGGGTAAGGGTGGTATGGAAACTAAGCCATTCACCTCTGCACCCCTATTCAAATCCCCCTTGTATCCATTAAGGTTTTTGTGTAACACTCCACTTACTCATGGATCCATTTATGTAGATTAGAAATGTTCTGAACTTGGGGGGGGGGGGGAAGGACAGGGGAATGACAC